TAAATGATAATCTACCTTCACCAAAATCAAAGTAGACTATCACTCACCCACACCAGATGGAAAACTCTACAGACTGTCGGTTCACACCCCATCACAAGCCAGCAAAACATCCACGAAACAAAGAAAGGTATATATATATATATATATATATATATATATATATAAACTAAGCATTAGGAAGATCCATCAGCACTGACGGCGGCGTGATGTGGATGGACGGAAATGCCTCCTCCAAGGGCCAAGTACCACTGGCAGCATTGAGTTTCCTTAACGCCTGAATCTGGACGTGTTTCTGGAGCTGTGCAGAAATCGCGTTGAGTTTCCTCAACCGCACATAGCCACAAACACGTCCAAATTCTGGCGTTGAGGAAAAACTCAGCGCTGCCAGTGGGACTTGGTCCCAAGTACTGAGCCATAGCGTCTTGTACCCATCGTCTACAAATGCGCATTTAAAATACCCATAAGGATAAGGATAAGGACAAAAATAAAAAAAGGGCATCAAGGATAAGGAGATTAAAGATAAGAATATAAGTATAGTAAGGATCTTTGTAAGAGTGAATAAATATGAGACACTGGACCGGATCTGCAGCAGGTGCAGCTCCCCCACCAATAGACAGGAGCGATCTGAAGAGGGGTAGTATTGGGAGATGCTCGGACCAATCCCAAGACCACGCCTTTACACATGCAAAAAAAAAAAAAAAAAAAAAAAAAAAGAGGCAATTGAAAAGGATACAATTAAGGACATTAAGAATAATACCGATAATAACGACATGAAGGATATATTCAGGATCGTATAAAATGTAAGGATATTAAAAAGATTGATGGGATTATTAAGGATATTATTACGGATAATGCCGATAATAATAAGGACCAGGAAATTAAGGATAAGAATTTTAAGGTTATTAAGTTTATTAAATATTTTAAAAATAAGGATATAAAGGATCGGATGAACCATCGGATGAACCATCAGCGGTGACGATGTACCGTTGATAAAACCAACGGCCCTAGCTCAGTTGGTACACCCTTGAACTACACTCAAATGAACAGAAAACGAAATTTACTCTTTTCCGGAAAAAAGAGAGAGAGAGAGAGAGAGAGAACGATGTGAATGCGGATATTAAACGAGAACGCCAACACAGGGCATGGCAGAGCTCGGCGTCTTCTACGAACGGGATACTAGGCAGTTGGTAAACCGACGAACTGTTGAGACACAGACCCAAGTCGGGATCCAGATGGAACCAGATGGAACCCTGAATTTATGTGGGGCCGATCAGCTCCACGACTACATCTCAAGGCCGTCGTTCTATAAGACAATTTATTGAAGGAAAAAGAACAAAAAAAAAAAACTTCGAAAAACTTAAAAAAGGAAGAAACAGGAAGAAGAGAAGAAAACAACAACAAAAAAAAAAAAAAAAGAAGCGAGGATAACGCACCAGCACTGACGACGTATTGTGGATGGACAAGAATTCCGCCGCACCAATGGAAGAGATCGTCGTCGATTTTTCTGCGAATCGACGCTTGAAATGGCAGCAGAGAAATGCTTGCAGGCTGTCCACCAATGATTTTCGCTTGAGTAGAACGGCGCCACAAGCCAGTGTCTCTCCGGCTATGAGCAGCATCGGCACTATGCTCTCCCTCTCCCTCTTCCTCTCCGTCTCCATCTCCCTCGCCCTCCCTCTCTCTCTCTCTCTCTGCTCTTCGTTCCAAGCCCCTGCCGACTTGCCGTACTGCTCTTTCAATCCATCCCTTCTGCGGCCCGGCAATTTCAAGAGAGTTCGATGCGGCTGCGTGTCCCTGCAGGGCATAGCTAAGGAGAAGAAGAAGAGAGAGAAGAGAGAGAAGAGGAAGAAGAGGAGGAGGAGGAGGAGGAGGAGAATGAGAGGAAAGACGAGGACGTCGTGGAACAAGGTCCATGGATGACACCATGTCGGGACCTCGCCTCTGTTCGTCTCTCCTATGCGAAAGCCGACGACTTGATTCCGATCCCGATCGCGATGCCGTTCCAGCGCAATTTGAGGAAACAATCCCAGCAGCTGCTGCCATGGCGGCCGGATGGGATCGCGGTGCTTCTTGTTCTTCTCCTTCCTTCTTCTTCTTCTTCTTCTTCTTCTTCTTCTTCTCCTTCTTCTTCGCCTTCTTCTTCGCCTTCGCCGCCGCAGCAGAAGTCCTGAGGAGGTGGAGTCGTAGGACTCCGAAGTGGGAGAGGGAGAGGGAGTAAGAGAGGGAGAGGGAGTAAGAGAGGGAGAGGAGTGAGAGAGGGAGAGAGAGTGAGTGAGGGAGAGAGTGAGAGAGAGAGAGGGAGGGAAAGAGCCAGAGGGAGTGAGAGAGGGAGAGGGAGAGGGAGTAGACTCAGTCTCGTCGGAGTGGGAGAGGGAGTGAAGCCCGTCTCTCTTCTCTCGCTGTCTGCCGATCCCCTTGCCGCCTGAGGCGGCTGAGCTCTTGATATTAACCTTTTTCTGTACGGGGCTCGCTCCACTACTCTCGACATGCACAAACGACAAAAAACATGGCGGTGTATATTTCCATTTTCTAGCGGAAGATTCATTCTCATTTTGCACATTTCGAGAGCAGTGGAGCGAGGCCGTACGGCAAGCGTCTTTCGAGCATACTTCCCTGGGGGGGGGSGGGGGGSGGGGGGGGGGGKCGGTCCTTGGGTGCTCTTGTTTTGTTGTTGTTGTTTTTCCCTTTCCTTTCCTATAATGCTCGGTCTCCAAAAAGAAAAAAAAAAAGAAAAAAAAAAAGAAAAAAAAAAAGGCTCGGTCTTTGCGTTAGCCAGACCCCCACCGACGACCCCACCCCATCTCTCACTCTCACTACCGCTATTGGGCTGGGGGCAATATGATGTACCTCGTTTGCGAGGCCCTATCCCATCTTTACACAGTCTTAGGAGTAGTAGGAAGGTATGTTTCTCCAAAAACAAAAAAAACAAAAACAAAAAAACGGTTTGGTCTACCAACGGGCCGAGCTCAGTTGGTATACCCGTGAACGGTTGAAATAGAGATCCAGGTTCGAATCCAGATTCGATCAGACGACCAGTAGCGTGGTCCCACTAGCAAAGAGGGTCGGATGAAATGCCTGAATCTGGACGTGTTTGCGGAGAGGTGCAGGAAATCGAGATTGAACTGCTTTCCTGCATCTCTGCATAGAACACGTCCACATTCGGGCATTCGATCCGATCCTCTTTGCTAATGGGACCTCAGCCCAGGCATCTATTGCAGGCATCTATTGACGCGTGTCATGCTTGCGCAGGGGCCATGCTAAGCGAGAGAAGGTTGCCAAAAAAAAAAAAAAAAAAAAAAAAAAAATCTTCTGTGTATCTTTCCAATTTTAACGGACGTCCCTAAGGACAGGTTATAGTTATTCTGAATTACCAGGGGGGGGCTAGTCTGGTTCTGCCCTAGCTCACTCTTGCAAGCGGTGACCTCGAAGAAGGTTTGAATTTGTTTGGCATGGCTGCCTTACACAGTAAAGTCTATAGAATCCTGATTTTCTATGGGATATGTCCCTAATTTTTTCTGTGCTTCAAGTTGTCTTTCGTGGAGGAACGACAGATAGTTGACAGAAGAGTGGATTGGTACAGAGATCTTGGGATGCTGGACCCGGTTTCCAGCCAAGCCAAAACTGGGTAATGGCCCCAGTCGTTCTTTTCCGGGCGTATTGTGAGATTGCCCGGCCTCTGTTCAACTTGGTAATACAATTCTTGATTCCTTCAAAAAAAAAAAAAAAAAAAAAAGAATTACCAGGGGGCGGTCAGTTCAAGGATGATATCTCAAGTTGTTGTTGTCAACAACCAAAATCGACCATGCCAACATCCAAGTAGCGTCACGGTAGCTGATCCAAGAGACACACAGAAGTGGAAGATTGAGAAGAAGAAGAAGAAGAAGTAGAAGAAGAAGAAGAAGGAAGAAGAGGAGGAAGAGGAGAGGAGAGAAGAAGAAGAAAGATGAGTAATGACAAATCGACGCAAGTAGGTAGGTAAAAACATCCCGAACGTAACTCATAAAATTTGAGTGAAAAACATGAGTCACGTATACCGTGGCGCGATCCGACCGGTTTCGGCTGGTCGCCACACCAGCCTCATCAGGGATCTGTCGGTGGGAATGACGTCTATTGAATCCTATTTAACTTGCGTGAGGTAGTAACCTATTCCTAGGAACTAGCTGAGACTTGGTCAGGTTCAATGTATCAAGGTTCTTGTCAGTCCCAAAGCAATTCATCACACCGCCACTTTCGACCGTCACCAATTCTCAAGACAAACACCGTTTTATCCTTCTGACTTGCTTCAGCCTGTGTAAAAAAAAACTCAATCATAAGTAGGTCAAAAAACGGGTCTATCTGTTGTTACCATCAGGCCTTGTTCGGGCTTAGTTTCCAAAAAGTAGGGTACCGTCAAACTTCATCATCCTACCTGGGTTCTGAAAAAAGAAGGTACCGCCGAACTACATCATCCTAACTAGTTGACTATCACAGACCTTATTCAGGCTCAGACTCAAAACAAAAAATTGTTCCGACAAAATGTAGGCCCTAACTTCGGGCTTTCCCCCAGTACGGTCGGGTTTCCCATCCGGTTAGAATGTCTACCCACTCCTGCCAGACACCAGAGAATTTATTAGAAAAGTTAATTAAGGAGTTGTCGAAGTAAGCATCCGGATAACCTCTACGCCATAACTCAACCTTTAAAGTAAATAAAAAAGGAAATTTTGTACCTTTTATAGTGGTGAAGGTTTTTGCTCTGTGTAGGAATGATCCAATGACAACCATTTTTTGCTGTTTACTGGAGTATGAGTTGAAATCCTATATGCTCTGAAACATTAGTTTCTCCCTGCTCCATTGCCGCTGGTTCTTTTGGAGTGGTAAACACGCTACTCCTCCTGTGTCTTCAAAAATCTTGACGATACATCCAAGGAAATCCCAGCTGTGACTGGAATTCGTTTGTTCCAAAGTCAAACTCTTATCGTAGCAGGTAGAGAACCGTTTAATAAGTTGAACTCCATCTTCACGTGTCACACCCTTTTGTGAATTACACACCACAAATAATGATACATCATCGACCAGTCTACATCCAAGCACCCGAGGTCGAATCCCATCAAGAGAAGAGAGGAACATGAATTCGTTAAAGGCACGAAGGAGACAGGCTAGAGAAGGACTAGAAGATTTCCCCATTGGGATACCTATAGTTTGACGAAGAATACTACCGCCAGCTTTGACATAGGTGTTCTCAAGTTCGAACAGAACAAAGTCATAGATCCTATGTTACCATGCATTCATTGAACGCGCATTTTGCATTCAAGTTTTGAAAGCGGTGAACGCACGTTCACGGAACGCGCGTGAACATGTTTGACGCGTTTGCGCAGGGGGTTGTGTGGGGTGGGGGGGGACTTTTGGCAGTGTGGGGAGCGGCGGCAGTGCTTGGGGGGGCTGTGGGCAGTATGGGGAATGGCGGCGGKGCTTGGGGGGGCTGTGGGCCGATGCGTGTGTCTGCGTGTGTGTGAACGTGTGTGTGTGTGTGAAGGGTCCTTTTTTTTTTCTTTTCGAGGCGGTGGGGAAATCTCCCTATCACCGCTCAGACGGCCCATGCAGGCTATCTGCAGGGCCGTCTCAACCACGCCCCCACCAAAATGAAAGCAGGTAGTGAATATGAAGAATTGCACGAGCTGGCCGTATATATATTCAATTTTTGAATTCAGGTCTGTGTTTCAGCAGTTATGGGTTCCACACGTAGTTGGGCCTTGGTCTCTGCACGTGATTCTCAGGGCTTGGCTGCACTACTCACCAAATGTGCAAAATTATAATGAATCTTGTGCAGAACATTGAATAATACGTCGCCATATGTTTTGTCTTTTGTGCCTGTGGTGAGTACAGGCCCTTAGGGCCACTGCACGTATTCCTAAGAAAAGAAAAACGAGAATAAAGAAAAAAGGAAATTTTTTTTTCTTGTTTTTCTTTTTTTAGGAATACCTGCAGTGGCCCTAAGGGCCTGTACTCACCACAGGCACAAAAGACAAAACATATGGCGGCGTATTATTCCATGTTCTGCACAAGATTCATTATAGTTTTGCACATTTTGTGAGTAGTGCAGCCAAGCCCTGAGAATCACGTGCAGAGACCAAGACCCAGCTACGTGTGGAACCCATAACTGCTGAAACACAAACCTGAATTCGAAAATTGAGTATATATTCGGCCAGCTCGTGCTTCACTTCATATTCACTGCCTGCCTTCATATCGGCGGGGGGGTCCGCGCCACATGGCTGTGAGGACCCTTCAGATAGGCTGCATGGGCCGTGAGGGAAAAAAAAAAAAGGAATGCAAATATCTGCGTGTGTAAACATCTGTGTGTGTTGTTGGGCGTATGTATATGTTTGAAAGGGGTATTTCGTGTTTTTTTTTCTTTACTTCATTTTTTGCATGCCCGTAGTCCTCGGCACGCGCGCCCACCCCTTGGGGTCGCGTTCATTTTCTTTGCGTTCCCTCGCGCGCAGCGCGTTTGAACGTGATTGAACGCGGCCGCAGGAGGTATGAAGCTGCGCATTTAAACGTGAACGCGCGTTCAGCGCGTTCAACCGGTTACATAGCATAGATTACAGAAAATTTGATCGCAATCCAACCCCCTTCGATCTTGTCTTTTTGAAGTTTGGCTTGCTTCCCTCTAATAGCGACAGAAACACCTTTATATCCTTTGCCTAACCAGTAATCACAAACCCATATAACCGCGTCGAGAATAAAAGATTGCTGGAGATTGAAAAACATTTCTTTGATGTCGAAAGAAGCACCTGTGATAAAAGTCATTTTTTTAAAGTCCCTTGTTGATCATAGCAATTTTCGTCATAAGATCATATGTGGTACGCATATTAAAGTGAAGAGAGGGGGGAATTGACCATAGTAGTTGATTGGCAGTAGTTGAAATCTGTTTTCCCGCAGTAGATGAACACTCAGAATGAGACAGACATATTGGGCGCCATCTTTCCACGTCCTTGTGCTTAGGTATACAATACGCGTTCCCCAAAGACCCTTTAGTCTTCCAATTCGCTACAACCTCAAGACCCTTCGAAGTGTATTCAGAACGTGAATTGGACAGAATCGTCTTCTCGTCAGAGTTGCAAGAGGAAAAAGTCGGGTTATTAAGAAAAAGTTTACTCAAACCCCCACGATAGACAACAAGACAGCAGATATAGGAATCACCCAGATTGTGATCGATAGGGCATACGACCAGATCGTTGAGGATAGGTAAAGAAGAAGAAGAGAGGGAAGAAGAAGAAAAAAAAGAAAAAGAAGAAGAAGGAAAAAAAAAAAAAAAAAAAAAAAAAAAAAAAAAAAAAAAAAAAAAAAAAAAAAAAAAAAAAAAAAAAAAAAAAAAAAAAAAAAAAAAAAACCCTAGAAGAAGAAGAATAAGAAGAAGAGGAAGAGGGTATCGACAAAGAAGGAAAAAAAGTGTTGAGACATCCAGCAACGAGTTCATTCATGACAGACGACAATTGGACCATAGGTAGGGAAGAATGCTGTTGGAAGGCAGAAATGATTTGTCGACGTAGTATGGAAATAGACGATTGATAGGAGGTACCAGGATGGATAATATTACGTGAGTTAGAGAAGATGGAAGGGAGGAAATCAACATCATTAGCACGAAAAGCAACATGCCCTCCTCGTCTAGGTAAACAGCCATCGCGACTGTCACATACGCAGCTCACAAACTCCTTTCTTGAATAGTCACGAAAATTGTAGAACAGGTCTTCCACAGTCTTGTTACAACACCATAGTATTCGAATTCAACGAATCAAAAGCTCTTTCCAGACACTGGGATATCAAGGGACCTAGTGACGCTGATACACAGTTTCGTACTTTTTGACTTATTAATACTTTCGTTATAGGTAATGCGAACGATAACTCGCTGCCGTATCTGTATCTGAAACCGACGTTTCACATGGTTGGACAATATGTGTCGAAGGCGACATCGAGTGCGTTTCTCAGAAAACGAACGTACCGCACTGAAGCCATACACGATCTGATCGAAACTCCGACTGCCAAGGCTCAATCTACTTACTGGTTGACTTAACAGTCTAGCTAATGGCGCTTTCAGACTTAGAGACTTCTTCAAATAGGTTGCAACAGAGATAAAATTCAAAGTAGACCCATCAACGATCCACCCTCGTGATTTCCAAAGTTGATTACGACCATGTACACATTCAATAATCGAACCTCCAAAACAACGCTTGATAAC